AGACCACAAAACCTAATGAAATAACTGTGTCTGCGTGTGTGTGTGTGTGTGTGTATTCCCGTTTTTTGGTAAACACATTTGCTTTGGTTTTGCTTTGAACAATTCTGCAAAAACTAGTAATTTGAAATCTTGTAAGTATCAAAGTGCTAGGTGATAAGTATTTTTATATTAAACAAAAAATGTGGAGGCTTCATTTCTTTTCTACCCAGTTTGACCACGAAGCAAGCAGAATCCTGTGTCCTCTTTGTCCCAAGGGGATTCCACAATTTCTCTTGGGTGTGTCCTGGTTCCAGTCTTTGTCTGCAGAGCCAACCATAGAGACATATGTTTATTTGTAAACACGAGAATAGTAAACTTTGTAGCTGTTGTGAATATTGTTAAATCTCAAACTCCTGGCCAGATCTGTCCTTAGAGATCACTTAAATCTTTTGTAGAACCCTAGGGAATAATAACTATTTATATTTGGAGGCTTTTCTATGTCCAAGAAGTGTCCGCCAGCTGGTTATCTTTAGGCTGAGGACGCAGGATTGCTCATGTGCGCTGTGTTCGTGTTCATTTGGCTCTTGGCTACACCTGAACATTTTGATCATGTCATATTTTTACACAGTATGTTTCTTACTGTTGAAGAATATAAACTGACTTTTTAAATTTTGTTTTAGCCGGGCATGGTGGCGCACGCCTGTAATCAGGCTGACGCAGGAGGATCACTGCGAGTTTGAGACCAGCCTGGGCTACCCAGTGAATTCCAGAGCAGTCTGAACTGCATAGTGAGACCCTGTCTCAAAAAATTTATTTGTGCATGTTTGCAGCACTAATGATTATTGTCATGCTGGGGAGCTGGTACATGGGTGTAACGTCTTAGTTCCTTTTCACCCCTTTTCCTTCCCCCGCCCCGTGATCCCTTTCCCTTTTGCAAAAGATCTGTGTACCTAGTTCCTATTATCTGTGTTTTTTTCTTTACTTATATTTTGGGTTTCTCATGGAAACCACACGGTATTCAACTCATGTCTGAAGAATATAAATTTGATGAACAATTTAAAGAAGCCAGGAACTTCACACGAGGAAGCAGAAATGTTTCTAATGAAACCATCTTCCTTTTGCAACTCACAGCAAGTTGGACATTCCCAGTGAGCTCACTACTCGCTCATATTTTGGTTACACAGTATTTTCTGGCTACTAAGCTTTCAGTTCCTGGATTTTTGCTTTATATCAGCAAGATAGCATTCCCTAAATTACCCACTGTTCTAATGTGCTCACTGAGAAAAACTAACCTATGGAAAATTAAGGTGAGATAAAAGTCAGCAAATTTTTATCTTTGGCTATATATAT